AGCATGTGCGAACGGCAAGGAGTATTTATCGGCAATTATGTACTATTGTACTAGTTTAATGCGTATCGTATAGGTGCACAAAATCTGGACTGTCAGTTATTTGTTAGTAAAATCCCAGTAAATGACCCAACTTCAGTTGAAGGGTTAAGAAATATAGCTCTCTCTCCCTTCATTTGCATCTTCACAACCTTTCTTGGTCTTCGAAAACTGAAATCACTGTTTCTTTTACGAAATCTAGGTTATTAATTCTAACCAATAGTTATTTAAAATATCTAATTTACTTTAGTTTCTCTTATCCAGGCGTAAAATGCCATGTGTTATTTACAGCATAGAAAAAAGTGCGGTATAAATTCTGGTACCCTAAATTTAGGAGGAAATATGTATTTATCGGATATGTAAGCAATTTTATATATTCCAACTGGAAGCTTGAGATTAGGGTTTCCCTTGGCTTTGTCGGGGTATTAATCCCGCGACATTATTGGCTTATGTCATGTGCCTAAGCTAACGCAGTTAAACTGCATTTACAAAGGGACAAAGGAGTATTTGCGGATTGCTCCGCAGTTTACAATAACCATTAACAAAGGAGTATTTGAACCGTCTAATTACGTCAGAAACATAAAGAGGACGGCCTCCTTTGTAAGCTCCGCCAGTCACGATGTCATTAATGAACGTTATCAATAATTTAGATATCAAAAAGTGGTATCTCGGTGGATCACGAAGGAGAAATCATTCTAACATGCTGGATTCTAAATAATCCCGTTTTCTACCTTCCGAATTGTTCTATAAATTTAGCGTTTAAATAATTTATAATTTAATATATTTAAAAGCATGCGCGAACGGCAACGAATATTTATCGGCGATTATGTACTACTGTTTAGTAAAATTCCAGTAAATTTATAAAATATTCCAACGTTTTGAGACTTTTTATATGATTATACATTAATAATTACGTATAGAAACTACCAAAAATCGTGGGCATGCCTTCCGTAAAGAGGAACACTGGAAATTAATTCCGCATCTGTTTAATTCGGTCGAACGTTTAAATTATTGGCCTATGATTGCTCTAAATTAAATAATACAGGTGAAATATCGACACTGTTTATTTCAGGTGAATTAGAAGCATCGATGACGCCGACGAACTAAACTAACGCAGTTAAACNTTCCGTAAAGAGGAACACTGGAAATTAATTCTGCATCTGTTTAATTCGGTCGAACCTTTAAATTATTGGCCTATGGTTGCTCTAAATTAAATAATACAGGTGAAATATCGACACTGTAATTTCCCGCAATTTATTTAATATGAATAGAATGTGACGTATCTCGCATTAATTGATGGAATTTTTAATATGCTTATTGAAATACGAAAATTATAAGATATCGTTATCAATAATTTAGATATCAAAAAGTGGTATCTCGGTAGATCGCGAAGGAGAAATCATTCTAACATGTTGGAGTGCTGCACGATTTATAAATAATCACGTTTTCTACCTTCCGAATTGTTCTATAAATTTGGCATTGAAATAATTAATAATTTAATATATTTAAAAGCATGCGCGAACGGCAACGAATATTTATTGGCGATTATGTACTACTGTTTAGTAAAATTCCAGTAAATTTATAAAATATTCCAACGTTTTGAGACTTTTTATATGATTATACATTAATAATTACGTATAGAAACTACCAAAAATCGTGGGCATGCCTTCCGTAAAGAGGAACACTGGAAATTAATTCCGCATCTGTTTAATTCGGTCGAACGTTTAAATTATTGGCCTATGATTGCTCTAAATTAAATAATACAGGTGAAATATCGACACTGTTTATTTCAGGTGAATTAGAAGCATCGATGACGCCGACGAACTAAACTAACGCAGTTAAACTGCATTTACAAATGGATAAAGGAGTATTTAAACCGTCAAATTATGTTAGGAATATAAAGAGGAAGGCCTCCTTTGTAAGCTCCGTGAGCTACGATGTCATTAATGAACGTTATCAATAATTTAGATATCAAAAAGTGGTATCTCTGTGGATCGCGAAGGAGAAATCATTGTAACGTGCTGGAGTGCTGCGCGGCTTCTAAATAATCCCGTTTTCTATCTTCCGAATTGTTCTATAAATTTCGCGTTTCGATCCGGACCTGTCTGCAGACTCGTCGATAAGGCCATGTAAAAATACGGTTTGCAGACAGGCCCTGCCTTAAATCTTTTAGCGGTTGTGGGGATCGAACCGAGAACTCGGGCAGATCAGCAATCACGTTGCTCGTAAGGTCTTCCAAATCCTATAAAGAATGAAACATTGGATTCTAAAAGATTGCCGCAATCTATATAATTTGGCATTTTTAGGTTCTCCTAGATTCAGCAGATTTTTATGTTAAGGGGGGTAGTAGATTGTGAAGTGCGTTTCAAAAGTGGGTTTAAAAGAGAATAAAAGCCGTAAAAAGTATTTTCATGCGAGGCTGTTTTATTTGATACTTTAAAGAGAATATGAAATGCAATGTTGGGTAAGGTGAAGTAGATTGTAAAATGCGTTTCAAAAGTGAGTTTAAAGAGAATGAAAAGACGTAGGAAATATTTTCATACGAGGCTGTTTTACTTGATATTTTAAAGTAAATATGGAATACAATGTTGGTTAAGGTGAAGTAGATTGTAAAATGCGTTTCAAAAATGAGTTTATGAAAGAATGAAAAGACGTAGGAATTGTTTCCATACGAGGCTGTTTTACTTGATATTTTAAAGTGAATATGGAATACAATGTTGGTTAAGGTGGAGTAGGTTATGAAATGCGTTTCAAATGTGAGTTTAAAAAAGAATGAAAATGCGTAAAAAATATTTTCATACGAGGCTGTTTTACTTGATACTTTAAAGTGAATATGGAATACAATGTTGGTTAAGGTGGAGTAGGTTATGAAATGCGTTTCAAATGTGAGTTTAAAAGAGAATGAAAAGACGTATGAAAGGTAGAAAAAAAAAGCTTTCATGAAATCATAAAAATAAATATATAGAAACCATACTACCGCATAACAATAGATCTGTGTGCGGAGCAGCTATCAACATCAACTTTGAATTACCTATGGGCAAGAATCATTTTGATTTTATAAAGTGTTAACGTAAAATTAAATCTGCGGCTATTTTTATGTACTCCCACCCATAATTGTGTCAACGTACTACACGAGTATTACGGACGTAATTATTTAACGTTTTCCGAGCGAAAACGTTATTAACGCCTTGAATGCCGTGGGAGTCATCGATGATCGGCAATCACTCCATAACAGCTTTCTCGTCATTTACTTTGGTTTTCATTGTTTTAATTGAATAATTAATTACTTTAAAATGTTCCACAAACTTGTATCTGCATTTTAATTTCCACATAACGTCGCGCCGTTCCCTCGCAATTTACTTGCAATTTTCCAGTAAAGTAAACTTAATATTTTAATTCATTAAAGAACGATTGAACTATTCCAAATTATAGATTCTGATCGTTCACCTATTCTGGATTATCTTCTACAAATAAATTACAATGTACTAGAATTGCGATTTGCAGTCAGGAGAATCATGTGATCGCAACTAATGAAAATGGCAACTAGAGTTTTGGTATATAGTGGTATAAGTAATGAGATTTTCCATATTCCAAGGAAATGCAATGTTAACCGATATTAAAAACGTTATCTGGAAAATTCGTCGGTAGTTTCGATTTTCCAAAGATTCGTACAAGTCCCAAGTGAACCAAAGCCAGTTACTTTAGATTTCCCAAGAGTACTTCGCGTTGCGCCCGATACTCGAATAGACACACATCCAACAACATTAGGTCTTACTAATAAAATATTTACGAATACGATGGACATTATCCAGAGTTAGAAAGGAAACGGACTTGGTCGGACATTTACTTTCCAGTACTATCTCACTTTATTCGCCAAACTGTCTTTATCCTTTCTTAGGAATTGCAATGATTAATTTCTGATGGATCTCTGTAAAGTCCAACTGCTAAAAATCGCACAACTAAAAATACAAATTAGAGACTAACGTATTGATATTGATTAGGATGATATTGATGATATTGATGATATTGATTAGGATAACGTTTTCAGTAATGATTAAATTTTTGTTTATAGATAAAAGCAATTTCAAACATTGGCCATGGTCTCTTTTCATTATTTTAAACAATATACACTGATGGATATTAAAATTATAACATCTGAAAATATCGAGGATAAGTACATCAGGTTTCGCAAAAGAAAAAAAAGGTTTATCACGTCGGAGTGATAAATGAATTGAATTCCTTGTACAAGTTTTAAAAGATATTTATAAATAAATTTCAAGTAATGAAATTTTTGGAGTGTTAGTACCTTCATCAGTGTAGCCATATTAATCTGGTAAAATCTCAAATGATTCGGTACACTCAGTTCGGAGAAAAGTTTCATAAATCAGACCCAGAGACCACTATCATACCACCTTAATGGCCACCAGTATGTGTGGTAATCAGGTATGCACAACTTTGATCTTCGCTGCAGCTTTTTCGGTGAATAATGTATTTGAACGTTCCATAATTTCTAGGAAAAGACATTTAGTACGTGAAATTTTCTACCCCGCGTCTCTTTAGAGCATAAAAAGGAATGGGATCTCGCAATTTTAATCCCAAAATGAAAAAATACCGGAAATATAAATACCTCTCTCAAAGGGAAGGGGAATTCACGTTGCGGGCAATCCTCCCCGAATTAAGGTTTCGGATCTCGGGGTAGATTAATTATTGATGAAAGCGAGGAGCCACAATTAATTCGAAATAACCGCGCTAAAGAGTGTCCCAGCTTCGGCGTAAAAGGAGAGCACCGAGATGGCATTTCAATGTGTCGCGGCTCAATTAGAATACGGAATGTACGGAAAGGTAACAGCTGCATTGAAATTTTATGGCGAGGCCGCCTTACCGAGGACACTTCTATTCCGCCACTTCTGGATTGCAAATGACCAACAAAACGAGGAGGAGACCCAAGACGGGCGTACATAAAGATGGGTGTAAAAATTCCGAGTGTACGTCGGGTCCAATGGCGACCCACAACGACGACAAATACAACCTCCTGGCGGAATTGACCCGACGAGTCGGCGCGAATAAACACAGGGAATTGAAGTTCCGTCAATAATTCACCGCGCAATTTCGCTAGTGATAACCCGGTCTACTCCGCGATAGCGAACGCCCCTCGTTTGCGCCGGCAATAATTCCGTCTTCGTCCTCTTCCAGGTGGCGTGGCTCCGGGTTAACACGCAGACCATACTGACGATAGCCAACCACGTTATCACGAAGAATCATCGGATCGGAGTGACACACAGCGACCACAGGACCTGGTACCTCCACATCCGCGAGGTGCAGGAGTCGGACAGAGGGGACTATATGTGTCAGATCAACACGGACCCCATGAAGTGCCAAATCGGTTATCTGGAAATCGTTGGTGCGTACATGGGGAAGAGTAGTCCAGTTATTAGAAAGAAAACACACACACAGAGAGAGCACACCCTGAGAAAATGAATTCATTGAACCAAAGAAGAATTAGAAACAACACGCACACACAGACACACACTGAGCACACCCTGAGAAAAAACATTCATTGAACCAAAGAAGAATTAGAAAAAACACACACTGAGCGCACCCTGAAAAATAGAATTCATTGAACCAAAGAAGAATTAGAAACAACACGCACACACACACACACACACTGAGCACACCCTGAGAAAAAACATTCATTGTACCAAAGAAGAATTAGAAAAAACACACACTGAGCGCACCCTGAAAAATAGAATTCATTGAACCAGAGAAATGTTTCTTTGAATAATATCAAAGAAGTATTTTCCACCCTTAGAAAAAACATTTATTGAACTAAAGAAGAATTAGAAAAAGCACGCACACACACATACTGAGCACACCCTAAGAAAAAACATTCATTGAACCAAAGAAGAATTAGAAAAAACACGCACACACACACTGAGCACACCCTGAAAAATAGAATTCATTGAACCATAGAAATGTTTCTTTGAATAGTGTCAAAGAAGTATTTTGCACCCTGAGAAAAAACATTTATTGAACCAAAGAAGAATTAGAAAACACACACACACCCTGAGAAGGAAAATTCATTGAACCAGAGAAATGTTTCTTTGAATAGTGTCAAAGAAGTATTTTGCACCCTGAGAAAAAACATTTATTGAACCAAAGAAGAATTAGAAACGACACACACACCCTGAGAAGGAAAATTCATTGAACCAGAGAAATGTTTCTTTGAATAGTGTCAAAGAAGTATTTTGCACCCTGAGAAAAAACATTTATTGAACCAAAGAAGAATTAGAAACGACACGCACACACACACTGAGCACACCCTAAGAAAAAACATTCATTGAACCAAAGAAGAATTAGAAAAAACACACACAGAGCGCACCCTGAAAAATAGAATTCATTGAACCAAAGAAGAATTAGAAACAACACGCACACACACACACACACACTGAGCACACCCTGAGAAAAAACATTCATTGTACCAAAGAAGAATTAGAAAAAACACAGACACTGAGCTCACCCTGAAAAATAGAATTCATTGAACCAGAGAAATGTTTCTTTGAATAATATCAAAGAAGTATTTTCCACCCTTAGAAAAAACATTTATTGAACTAAAGAAGAATTAGAAAAAGCACGCACACACACATACTGAGCACACCCTAAGAAAAAACATTCATTGAACCAAAGAAGAATTAGAAAAAACACGCACACACACACTGAGCACACCCTGAAAAATAGAATTCATTGAACCATAGAAATGTTTCTTTGAATAGTGTCAAAGAAGTATTTTGCACCCTGAGAAAAAACATTTATTGAACCAAAGAAGAATTAGAAACGACACGCACACACACACTGAGCACACCCTAAGAAAAAACATTCATTGAACCAAAGAAGAATTAGAAAACACACACACCTTGAGAAGGAGAATTCATTAAACCAGAGAAATGTTTCTTTGAAAGAGATTGGTTGCAAAACACGTAAAAACACTAAAAAGTAAAAAATAGAAAATAAAATAGGTTACATTATTTTAAGTTTAATGATTTTAACTTGATCATCGATGCAGTCAATTAAATGAAATGAAAAATGTGAAAACCAATTATTTTCTTGTATCACAATTTAGATGGTTATATATGACTTTAATTAAAATCGTGGAGCGGTCATAAATTAATTCCGCCAATCACAGAGTGTTAATTAACACCAATGTCGAATGACGAGAAAAAATTCGATAAACTAAGCGAAGCTCAGAGTTTAATTGAAATTTTGGCAAGTTGAATAAAGAGTGTCCATATATTTATTCTATCAATTGCAATGCCTGTAATTATCCCTTTTACAACTAACTCGAAGTGAAAGAAAACATTGCTAGAAGTAATTCATTTATAGGCGTCCCATGAATTTCTTTAAAGTCGTATATAACCATCAAAGTTGTCTTAGAAGGGCAATATTATTTTCCACGTTTTTACTTTATTTACTTTCTTACATTGTAGATCAAGTTAAATATAAATCGTTTCACTTGGACATGATATTTTCAACGAATTGAAAATCTTTCGAATTCCTGATGCGGTTGAAGAACAATTTCGGCGAATTTCCAAAATGTACGCAGCTTAGAGTAGAAGTACTTCACGGGATAGTGGTAAATTAAAATATCATTTCAAAGCAGGAGTTCAAAGAGCGAAGGAAACCATTACCTTTTGGAAACATCAAACAGAATTATTTTCCACGTAGCCACCATATCCGCAGTTTCAGGGAACCTACATAATTTGATATTAATTAAAAAAAGTATTTTTTTTTATACAAAACCACATAGCCTGTCTCTCGGAATTTATTGCGAAAATTACTCTGTGGTTGTAATTCATTCGATAAGCAAGGATGAACATCAGGGAAAAATCCGAATTTCCGAGGTAACGATAAAACGATACATGGTTTTCCTTTTGGACACTATTGTAGATACAGAGAGAATATTGGAGGTGGACGGGAGATAGCTATTGTAGAGAAAAATCTATACAGTACCTCCCTTTGCATATTTAATGAACATGGACCTACATATATCCACCTTCAGACACGTAAAATTGCATTCAACGTTAATGAAAAAGACTAAATCGTTACCGAAGTAACGTTTAGGAAATTGGCTTCTTGATTTATATCCATTGAACCCTTTTTAACTACTTTTCAGTGTATTTTCTAAAATTCACAGAACTTATTTGGAGTTTAGAAATCCGTTTTATAATTGAAGTACATTACGCTATATGATTTAAATTTGCGAAAGAAGGAGTTCTGTATTTTTGGAATTCTGTTAGCCATATATATATATATCTTCCGGGAAGATATGTCAAAATCTGAGAATAATTGTAATCTACAATTCGGAGATATTTAATGTTGACGAATCGGTTTAAGGATAAAGACATACGTACTTCGTATGTTTACGTATATGTGTACTTCAACATTTTCAAATTAAGATGCATTGCTTATACATAATAGCGGATATAAACGTTGTTATAAAAAACTTTAAAATTTACATCGTTGTACATTTTCACATTCATCGAGCACTTCATCCTTGTATATCCTTTCCCTTGCGGGAAAGACATGGGCTCATGTCGATTGTGCGGACTAAAAACGCCATAATACATGTTCCAGACTCCATGTCTTACCTATGAGGAAAAGAAATGTACGAGGACGAAGTGCTCGATGAGTTTCATTGGTTGATTGATATATTTATTCAGTAAAAATGAAAAAAAATATATATGGTCCCTGTACCCGTTGCGTCGGTACTACACGTGAATCGGGATTGTTTCATTGCGCTGTAATTGGGTAAACACTGATGGTAAAAAAATAGAAACTTTGGTTGAAAACGTTACTCTCTTTTACCTTCTAAAAGGTACGACGAAGATTTAGGGACTCCTTGTATAATGGCGGACATGAATATAGATGAACAACATCGCCTCTGCAGGATGGGAGGGCATCGATGTCTCCCAGTGTACATCCTACATGATGTCGTTTCTTCTTCTCTTATTACTATTCTCTTACCACTTACTTACATTAAAATGACTAAATTTCATGAATTTTGTTTATTACTCGTGGAGGTATGACCTCCGAAAGTATTATGGGAATTTGATTGTCACCCCGTAACGCAGATTCTGGAAGAAGAAAAGCCTCGAAAGAGACGAACCTCTTGTTCTTCCTCTCTCCTGGTGGAAGCTGCACGAAGGGTCTAACCTTTTTTGTATTTTCGGTCTTAGTACCTCCGGATATATTGGATTACTCGACAAGCACCGACATGGTAGTGCGGGAGGGTAGTAACGTTACCTTGCGCTGCGCCGCCACCGGAACACCCACGCCCAACATCACCTGGAGACGAGAAGGAGGCGAGCTGATCCCCTTCGGAAACGGTCAGGAAGGTAATTTCCTCTTAAACCTTTCAGGAGTAAAACGGGAATTTAAGGAGCAGAATACCGCTAATGGCCAGAGTAAGTGCAGAGTAGGGGTAAGGCAATTCCGCCAGCCTCTCTTCTCTTCTACCTTCTCTTTTGAAGTGAAACTTCCTATATCACGGTAATATAAGTGCGCATATTAAGAAAGAGTAGGAATTCACAAAATGAGACACTTGTTCATCTATTTTCAACGTAAAACTCCCAGATAGACGAAGTGATGCAACATTGCATCAAATTTGCCTCATAAGAGATCATGAAATGAATCATGAGAGTGTTGCTCATGAGTCCTCATTTGGAACTGTGGTGATATAAGTGCGCATATTAAGAAAGAGTAGGAATTCGGAAAATGAGACACTTGTTCATCTATTTTCAATGTAAAACTCCCGGTTAGGCGAAGTGATGCAAAATTGCATCAAATTTGCCTCATAAGAGATCATGAAATGAATCATGAGAGTGTTGCTGATGAGTACTCAATTGGAACTTATACCTGTAGGATACAATGACGAACCAAAAATCCTTAAATATGAAACAAAGTTAAGTACATGCAATGTCTCAATGTTTGACGGCATACGTACAGCTAAATTTATCTCACGCATTGTTGAACCTGTAATCAGTAAGTAAAGAATTCTACAAATATTCAGGAGCAGATGTCCTATATAGAATGTACGACTGTGATAAATGAAGCAGATCATTGTAAAACGTAAGACGAAACGGATTGGCCGGCAATAACTTTTAGACTTTCATCGACAATCGGTATAGTATGTCCCTCAAAATTGTTCATGGGGTAAATGACCTTCATCCCTTCCAAATGAAATGAAACGTGTAATTAATATACGCGACATTTATTCAAGGGATTTTTTTTCGGGATAATTGGAGTACTGTAATACTATTGTATGATACAAGGGTTCGAACGGTTGTGTTTATCGGCCATCCTATCATGGTATTAAATGATTTCTGTCTATGTTCAGCTCTCATATAACGTCGAAGGGTTAACAAATTTTAGAACAAGGTTCAGTGTTTGAGACATTCGATATGGTTGTAAGAGATGATATCGTTGATCTGCAAGCGTGAAATTGCAACGAAGTGGCAAGGACATTTGATCGGCCGTCGTTACAGAGCTCCCGTTTACAAAAGAAGAGCACCATCTTAAGGCAGTTTAATCGCTCTCCATTCTGTCAGCTCCCTTTATACATTAAGGGGATGCGAAAGTGGCATCTGAAGAGTCAATCGTTCATGAAACTTATCTCCAAATTAGGTGTGCTGAATCGTTTCAAACTTTACAACGTGAGTGTGAAGACCATAAGAAAAGTCTTGACACTCATGAGATTTCATTTTTTGTAACAGATTAAACAAAATATTAATGAAAAAATGTAAAAAATGAAATTTCATGAGTTCCGAGACCTTCCTTATGTCCAGCATATTTATATTGCAAAGTTTGAATCGAAAAGTCAATCGTTCATGAAACTTTTCTCCGAATTAGATGTGCTGAATCGTTTCAAACTTTACAACGTGAGTGTGAAGGCCATAAGAAAAGTCCTGACACTCATGAGATTTCATTTTTTATAACAGATTAAACAAAATATCAATGAAAAAATGAAATTTCATGAGTTCCTAGACCTTCCTTATATCCTGCATATTTATATTACAAAGTTTGAATCGAAAAGTCAATCGTTCATGAAACTTTTCTCTGAATTAGATGTGCTGAATCGTTTCAGACTTTACAACGTAAGTGTGAAGGCCATAAGAAAAGTCCTGACACTCATGAAATTTCATTTTTTGTAACAGATTAAACAAAATATTAATGAAAAACTGTAAAAAAATGTAATTTCATGAGATCCTAGACCTTCCTTATATCCAGCCTAATTAGGTTTCATTAAACGGTCGCGTTCATGTTTTTCGTAACCGTTTACATACTAGGTCGAAATCAAATGTTTAAATAGTACCACCATATATTTAAATGTTTAAATAGTCGAAAACATATGATTCATATGCGGCTATAAGTGTCTTCCGAACATGTAATCATATCTGTAGGGAAGGCATTCATGTCCACAAATATACCTATACGTAAGCAGATTTACAGAATTGAAACGATTGTTATCATCTTTTAATTTGAAGACTCAAACACTACTACAGGTAGTTTTCACCTTTACGAATTAATTCCTTCCTGACCACCGTTCGTTAATCAAGAACTTCAAAGACGGGGAATTACGCGCGTTTGTGAGGAAGACTCTTTTACTTTGATAATTCAAGATCGCTTATACTTAGAGTGCAGATTAAACGAATAATGTTTAATCTTCTCAGAAAATCCATTTCGCAATCAAGACTCCAAACGAATTGCAGAAAAAAAAAGACAAACATTTTGCAGAGTAACACCTTTTGTCCTGCCTACTTTCAACGTAGAAAATCTTCTGATTTAGCTGCATGAATGGTCTTAAAGGGAACAATTGCAAAATTGGTGAAAGAAAATCGTAACTTAATGTTGTATCGGATATTGTTCTTGCTCGGTTATACGACGGAGGTTGTAAAGTGCAGAATAATAAATAATGGAAGGGAAAAGACGGGCTGCATAAATATTTCTTATTCACGCTGCAGTGCTTTACAGTCGACGAGGTGGGCGAAGGTAATGTTCCTAAATTGTTAATAAACTTTCCGACCGTAAAGTTCTTGCTATAAAAGGGGTAATCGGTGAGAAACGCTTTTAACAACGTCGTAGGAAAGTCGAGGTGTCCCAGGAGCAAGAAGATTCGTGTCACGAGACCTTCATGTGGATCTAAGTTATGCAAATCGCTGTATAAACAAGTCAACTTTTGAAAGAATTACTCTGTTACCGTGAATGACCGAAATTGGAGAATGTCGACTTTCACCGGTGAATGTCAACAGAAACCAAATACGTCGGTGAAAGATCGAATATTTAATTACATTGTTGTACATTCGGACCCTCTCCAGTGTGTGTCAACAATCACACACCGGTGAATGTCAACATTTACCGGTGTAAGTAAGAAATAAGGGTACTTAGCAAATATTTCGGACATACACGAAGCGACTATGTGAATGTTGACATTCACCGGTGAACGTCGACATTCTCCAGATTTCGGTATTTCACCGTAACGACTCCACTCAATGGACAAGATCCTAGGGAATCCAGTTTATACCTTACAACTGCACTTTTGCTGACTGAAAGCGATGTCACAGATATTGTTAATTAATGCTGATTTGAATTATGCAAATTGTTGCATAAATGAGTGAACGTTTGAGAGAATTATTTCACTCAATGAGCAAGATCCTAAGGACTGCATTTTACACCTTGCGGTTTCACTTTTATTGCTGACTGAAACCGATGTCACAGATATTGTAAATTAATGCTGATTTAAATTATGCAAATCGTTGCATAAACGAGTGAACGTTTCAGAGAATTACTGCACTCAATGTGCAAGATCGTAGGGGCTGAATTTTACATCTTATGGTTTCACTTTTATTGCTGACTGAAAGCGATATCACAAATAGTGTAAATTTATGTTCGTTTAGATTACAGGAATCGCTATATAAACAAGTCAACATTTGAAAGAATTACTCCACTCAATATGCAAGATCATAAGGACTGCATTTTACACCTTTCCGTTTCACTTTTATTGCTGACTGAAAGCGATGTCACAGATATTGTTAATTAATGCTGATTTAAATTATGCAAATTGTTGCATAAACGAGTGAACGTTGCAGAGAATTATTTCACTCAATGAGCAAGATCCTGAGGACTGCATTTTACACCTTGCGGTTTCACTTTTATTGCTGACTGAAAGCGATGTCACAGATATTGTTAATTAATGCTGATTTAAATTATGCAAATCGTTGCATTAACGAGTGAACGTTTCAGAGAATTACTGAAATCAATGAGCAAGATCCTAAGGACTGCATTTTACACCTTTCGGTTTCACTTTTATTGCTGACTGAGAGCGATGTCACAAATTGTGTTAATTGATGTTCATTTAGACTACACACAAATCGCTATATAAACAAGTCAATATTTGGAGAAAATTATTCCAGTCAATGCGTAAGATAATGGGAAGTAAATTTTACAATTTGCAGCTTCATTTTCGCTGTTTACTGAGGGAAGTATCAGAACTATGTTATGAAAGGCAACAACCAGTCTACATGTTTTGCATACAGAATGTTCGAAGGGTTAAACACGATGTAAAATTTGCAGGCTTAATTTGGGGGGCGAATTTTTTATGAAATTCTTCTTGGAATTATTCGCCGTATGAATAGTTTTCCCACTCACTGTATGTGCCGGAAACATGAAATTACGTCTTCCGTGGACTACCCTTTAACGGCCGGAGACGTTAAATTACCCCTTTTGCGCGTTGGTGCGGAATTCTGCCGGTTAGTCCGGCGACGGCGGCGTCGGACCGGAATGTGTTAATAAAACTAAGTAAATATTATTAAAGAAGGGAAAGGTGTGAGGCCATTTACTCGGTTCTGAAGAAAATATGTCGGAAAGCGCAGAACGTAACTCTGTTATACTTTGTGGAGGTTAATCCACAGTTCATACTCTAGATCTACAAAATTTTGTTGATGGGACCAAGCAGTGAGTATTCACCAGAAGTAATGGCACCAAAATTACTCCAGCTCTTCAAAATCTTGTTGATGGGACCAAGCAATGAGTATTCACCAGAAGTAATGGCAACAAAACGGCTCCAGATCTACAAAATCTTGTTTATGAGACCAATCAACAAGTATTCACCAGAAGTAATAACCCTAAAACGACTCCAGATCTACAAAATTTTGTTGGTGGGACCAAGCAAGAAGTATACATCAGAAGTAATGGCACTAAAAAGACTCCAGATCGAAAAATTTAGTTGATGAGACCAATCAATAAGTATTCACCAGAAGTAATAACCCTAAAACGACTCCAGATCTACAAAATTTGGTTGGTAAGACCAAGCAAGAAATATTCACCAGAAGTAATGGAA